GATGGAGAACATAAAAAAATATTTTCCATTTATGAACAGTCATGTCACTGGTTTTGACAAGGGAAAATCATAAGTCTTTGAAATGTTTATTAATTTTCTACTGGTACATATTCTTTTTTTTTAATCGTTTTATTAGGGGCTCATACAACTCTTTGTCACAATCCATACATACATCAATTGTGTAAAGCACATTTGTACATTCATTACCCTCATCATTCTCAAAACATTTGATCTCCATCTACTGGTACATATTCATAGTTATAAATTGTCTTTCAGTTCCCCTGGTTCTAAAGATCATCTTTGCCCTAGAAGAAATGAGGAGAGTGGACGAAACTTCCCCATCATTTTGATCATTATTTAGTAAAAGATACTTGGCATTTATATTTGCTTTCTTTTAAAGATATAATTTAGGGGCAAAAAGCTAGTTATTTATGGGGAAGGACTGAAGAAACCCCAGTGAGACATTCTGTAGTAAAGTCCTTTGTTAGTGTAACGTCTAACCTTCTATATCTTTGGAAATCACGCAACTTGGCTAATGTAGTCCGTAGAGAATTAATCAAGCACATTGTTAGGTCTTAATTACAGTGGAGCCAGCCAATTATGAGTTGCTCAGAAATTCATCACTGACATGTCCAACCACATTTTCCCACATAAAGATTAGTGGAAATATGTGGACACAGGGTCTGTTCCCACCCTAGTACAGTTACAATAATTGTTTAGTGAAACAAATTTCAACAAAGTTTTGCCTTTGTGAAGTAAATAATTTATTTGGGAAGTTTTGATTCCTGATTTTACTCATAACACCTTCTTCTGCCAGCATTTCAAAATGTTCTAGTTAAAACCCTAGATAAGGGAATTTTCATATTCCAACACACTTCTGAATTCAAAGCACTTAGGTCGCATACCACAAGCCTGGATTCATTTTAGGTAAACTGAAATCCCCAGAGACTACCTTTAGTCTTTCCACTATAGTGATAATGCCCTCCCCGAGCCTTACTAAGAAAACTTTTCTTGCAAGAGTGAAATGAAGGCAGCCAAGATCCGGTAAAGATTGGTTCTCTTAAGTTGAGGGCAGTGCTGCTCTTAAATAAAGAAGCTCCTTTCAGATAGGCAGAATCAGATTCCAGTTCAGTTGGTTTGCTGGCTACCCTTACTTTGAACTCTCATATTTAACCCAGCAGGCTTCAAAGCAGGTGAGAAAATGACCTACTTAAAGGCAATTTTTTTCCCTTTTCTGGAATTCTGGCGTTAGAGACTATCAGCTCTCATATCAGCACATTCCACATCTCCAGGGATTTATGCAACTTTTTTTCCATCACTCTGTCTAATGTCAGATTAGGTTTTCATCTCAGTCAGAAGAAAAATCAGGGGAAACCATAACTTGCTGCACATAAAGTATGCCATGCAAAGGGAGAAAGGCACTCAATTCATGAACCATTCGTTTGCTCTCAGCCATTTAGCTAAACCTGATTTTCAAGGAGCACCATTAAAAATAATCAATTCTCTGTATTGCTTCATAAAAAAACAATTTTTGGAACAAAAGTATTTTAACACATTCAAATTAAATTTATGAGCTAGAACAAGAAAGGTATAAGGCAGTGGTTCTCAACCTTCCTAATGCAACGACTCCTTAATACAGTTCCTCATGTTGTGGTGACCCCCAACCATAAAATTATTTTCATTGCTACTTCATAACTGTAATTTTGCTACTGTTATGAATCAGGCTATCCCTGTGAAAGGGTCATTCAACCCACAAGTTGAGAACCGCTGGTATAAGGTAACTTCATGTGGTACCAATGGAAGAAATTTAGAAAACTTTTAATTTATAAATTTTCATTGAATTGCTTGCCCTTACTAAATAGAAGATTCTTCATGGCTTTCTACTCTATTTGGGCATCTAATATCTGACCAAAATGAAAATCCTAACATATGCAGTTTTTAAGTTCTGTTCTATAAGGCAGTTGGGCAGTGTCTAAAACTTGAAATATTTCCCCTTTCATGGTTTACAGAATGCATAATGCATCTGAAGTTCTAATACCCAACCAAACCCCACTGCCAGTAAGTCCGTTTTGACTCACAGTGACCCTATCTAGGATTTCTGAGATTGTAAATCTTTATGGGCATAAACAGCCTCCTTTTTCTTTCAGAGATGCTACTGGGTTTGAAACCTCGACCTTGCAATTAGCAGCCTAACATCACCTAATCATTATACTACAGTTTCTCTGGGAAAATGCATTTTAGATCTTACTCTCTTAGGATATGTCAGCTCCAAGGATGAAGGAGTGAGTTTCCCACTGTGGGGGCACTATGGTGAGGAAGAGGGTCACTGTGATAGTGGTAACAACAACAGCTAATGCTCACCTCGTTACTATGGGCAGACACAGCCTGAACATTTGACCTATTTCAAATTCATTTCACCCTCACAAAACCTAATGAGGTAGTACTAGTCTCATTTTACAACCAGGAGAAAAGGCTAAGTGACTTACCCTAAGGTTGCACAGCCAGTTAGTGTCAGGGCTAAAGTTCAAAGCAAAGCAGACTGGCGCCAGCCTATGCTCATTACCACTCTGCAGTGCTGCCCTTCTCCACCTTGAAAAGGCGAGTACTATCCAGGTGCTTGAAATCCCTCAAATGGGGGATAGAGGCAAGCAAGGCTTCTTGCACTTTACACGTGTGTGGGATCACATGGGAAGCTTGTTAAAATACAGTTTCTATTGAAGGATGTCTCTCATTAGATAATGAGCCTCACTCAGGCTCAGTATTTCTAACAAACTCCTGACTGATGGTGACACACCTCGTCTACAAGCCACACTTAGTGGCAAAGAAGTAGAATTTGAGTGTTTAGCTCCTTTGCTGTCAACTTCTCTGTATGTAACTCATTCACTGCCATCGAGTCGATTTGGCTCATAGTGACCCTGTAGGACCGAGTAGAACTGCTTCTTTGGATTTCTGGTTATAAATTTTTATGCAAACAGAAAGCCTCATCTTTCTCTCTTGGACTATTTGGTGGGTTTGAACTGCTGATTTTTCAGTTAGCAGCCCAATGTGTAGCCCACTATGCCACCAGGGTTGTTTTTATAAGCTGAAGACTACCCATACTGTAATCATTTTCCATTAACTCTTAAATAGCGCCTGCCCTTGGAACTGCTGTATACCAGATATGGGTCTGTAAGTAACCTGAAGAAGTAGTAAGCTTTTATGTACTTAATATTCCAATTTAAAGGTCACAGAGATAAAACATGGCTGTAAAAGTTCACAGTTAGGCTCACTCTCACTGCCAACTATGCAAATATAAAAAGAGAGTGATATTATTATAAATAAAAAGTCTATAAAAAGAAGCTTTCACCTTAGAATGTAGTATTTTTCATTCTCAGACTCTGCTAGAAGACTGTTCTTGTAGTGTTAGTGGCTCTCCTGGTGCCATGAGTGACCTTAGGTGAGGGCAGGCACTCGAGGAACATGAATGAACAGTGCATACAGCGTGTACTCTCACAGTAACTCTAGGCAGTACTTCATGGAAACGCTCTGCTAATGGCTACTACATGTCTAGTCCAGAGTCTAGCTCTCTGCTTTCTTTTACCTAGTTCTCCTCCTGCTACTCTGAGAGGAATACAAGAACTCTCTCTCCCACTGTTGGCCTGTCATCTCAAATACACCTTCTTCCCCTCAGCTGTTGCACAGATGGGATTCCCTTTCGAGATCGTTTTCACCATGCCAGATTACACAGTAAGGCCTTTTCAGGTTAGAGTGCATTATCCAATCAGCACGATTGCAAACAACAGAGTTATGGTGTGATCTTTAAGTTTCCTGTTTACAATGAAAGGAAATAAAACAGTTTCCAACCCAAATATCTATATTCCCTGAACTACAGTGGAAAGGTCATTCTTCTGAAGTTTGACCTAGAATCAAGTTCAGTCTCAGACTCCTGGCCTACTTACTGCCAGTGGCGACCTAACGTTATCCAGGTGATCTCCAGGGAAAGGGGAAGGCAAGGCTATTACCACCGAGGCCAGAAGAAAGAACTCACCGTTAAGGAGTAGAATTAACTATTCTACAAATGAGTTTTAAGGGAGGACAAGGAATTATAAGGAAGCAGGGAGTTATAATGGAGGTATTCTGTAAAAAATATAGAAAATACATTACCAAGTAAGGGCTACATTTTTTTGTCCTTGTGGCTCTTAAAGCTTTTATATTTGAAAATATAATAAATCAGTAGCATTTTCTTTGTGGTTTTTAGCCTAGTAAATGGAAAGAGATACAAGAAGAGTGCATTTTGAAAAGACTTGGAGACTTGAAGGGAATTATCTTTGGTAATATAAATTTGAGCCAACGCACATTAATTAATAAGTTTTGTAGATAAGTAAATAATCAGAGGGTACCTTTTCTAATATCAATTGTCACTACTTTGGGGGTCAGGAAATGGGAAAGTGGTTTAAACTAAAGGGTAAAAATTAAAGGTCTATATGCGGTTCCATACCCAAAGCAGGGGAAAAGAAAGGACTCTGCAGATACAGTAAGGATGCTCTTCGGAGTGAAGATGCCCAGGGAAAATGCCCTATCTTACCAACTTACTCTCCATCCTAGGTGCAATCCTGAAGTTCTGCAATTCTTTAATAATTTAATTTAAATGGGAAGATCAAAAGGCTTATTTACAAAATACAAAACTTTAAAAAAAATGTCAAAGAAAATACATTAATGGTAAAAGAGAGTTGAATTGTTATTTACTAGTAATAAATGCTAGGTTTACCTCCAAAAGTAGTCTATAAAGACGAATTTATATTATAAGATTGTGTTCTTAAAACTCTTAAGCAACAGAACTATAACTCAAATCACCAAAACTAATGTTTAATGTATTTATGGTAGCAACTAAACAAAACAATTCCCGTAATTTACTTAACAAATATCTGTCTTCCACCATTCAACTGGTTAAAGCACAAATTGGAGATGGTTCCTTGTGTATTTTACAAATATTCTATACAAGTCCATGAGATCATACTTACAGCTTTAGCTAAAACACCCAAGATCTCAGGAAACCGGTGTGTGAGCAGGGCTATCATTGCTGTTGAAGAACATAGTCCTGCTGTGAAATGGATGAAGAAAGGAAGCTCTTTCTTTGGGTAAACAGAAACATGATGAAAAGCTGCAAGGGAAAAAAGGTAGAAATGGATTTTATTTCAAGAATAATGGTGTGACTCAATCATAGTATTTTCCAATAAAATGTAATTTGAAAAATAAAAAGGAAAATAATTGAAAGAAAAGAAGAAGCCGTCCCTGGCTAAGCAAGGCATTATTGATTTGAGCATCCACAGCCTATCTATATAACCAGATGTCTGGGCTAGGGACTGGGAACAAGATGGTATCATGGGGAACACTGATTATAAAGTCATGCTGAGATATTTTGAAAAAGAGCTTTGTCATTTGTTAGCTGTATGATCTTTAACTTTGCTAAACCCTCTAGAAGTTGCTATGGAGTTGTTATGATGCAGATTATATGCCTTTAATAAATGTGAGTTGTTAAAATTCTTGTTCGTTGATAGCACAGAGGCTAGTATAGAGAATAAGAAACAGAAACATGGTTAGCAACTTTCCAGAACTATTATAGCTTAATAATTTTACCTAGTTATTAGTAACTGTTCTATGTCTAACATTTCACTGAATCCTATAGAAAATGAGCTGGAAAATCCAAGCCCTAGGATTCTGGCTGGCCATGAATTAAGTTTGTTGCCTGCTTTATCACTTTTACTCAGGCATCATTTTTCTAGGGATTGGACATTACAATATGAGCAGAAGTGAAGTGTTGAGAAACTTTTAAAATTTATTTTTATGGTTGAGATGATACAGCAATTCAATAATTTCTATGTGTACAATTCAGTTCTATTGACATTTTTTCAAGCTGTATAACCATTGTCACCTTCCTTTTCTGAATTGTTATCTTTTTTTTAATTAAAAATTTTTTTTCTGAATTGTTATATCTTATTTGAAATTGAAGAATACTTGATTAGATTGAGATGAGTCTATTACAATGCCTAGCACATAATAGATGCTCAATAAATGATGGTTCCATGGAATTATTATTCTGAAACTTAATTTAATCTAGGAAATTGACTGCTCAGGGCTGGACAGTAACCCAGAACTTTCTGATGTAATATCCTGCATAAGTAAGGGATGACTAATTCAGTGTAATCTTCTCTGTAAATTTTACTTAAGTGAAACAATTCACAGAGAAGATTACATATACCAAAGTTTCCTTCACTAGCTATGATATCTTCATGGGTCTTAAACTTTATCCAGAAAGTATGTAACAAAAATCAATCTCATTTAAAATCCAGACCTTTCAGAGCTTTGAACCATGTTTAAAATAAATGCACAACAAAATAAAAAAAATTTTTAGTTAGAAACACTAAGTTACACACAACATTATGCTTTCAGCACCCAAAAATGCAGTAGTCCTTTTTAACCCTCCCTGTCCCTCAGCCATGAGTAGCCAACTTCCTCCAACAAACCAAGAGAAACAGAAACCCTGGCTTTTATGAGATGGAGGACACATACTTAAGCATACCAATAAACGCAACCAACTAAACCCACTATCATAATGATTTTCACAGGCTAGCAATTATGCATGCCAATAGTTACTATAATTGCTACCTTGTGAGAGACAACAAAAACTAATATTAAATTGCATAGCATTTTACTGTTCGCAAGGTACTTAAGCCCATTTGATTTTTCCAACAAGCTTAAGAGATAGATAGTACCATTCCTATTTTATAAAGTAGAAAATTGAATAGCTTTCACAAGATAATTCCTAAAATATGGAATTTTTATACTGTAGGGGAGACTTGATTATTTCTTTTTGGATTGCTTTCTGTGGATTCATTTGTCAGTCAGTGTTTGGCTAATACATCAATATAATAAATGACTAGCACAGAAACACTCCCTTGGAACTGAAGTTCAAATTTCATCACTGGCTTGTAGAGAAAAATTTATCAGGAGGCATAAAAGACAACTAAATAGCTATGTGAACTAGGGGAATAGTTCAAGTATGAAAGTATGAGGTTCATAAGCAAATTCCAGAATGCTGTAAGTCATATCAAGATTGAAGGAGAATTTAAAATGAAAAACATTAAATACTCCTGGGTATTAGAACTCCATATTATTAAAAATATTTCACTCTGCCACAGACAAAAAAATCATCTAAGATCATACAATATAATCAAACAAAACTCCCAGTATAACCCCCTTCTCCTGCCTCTTGGAATGTGCAGACGAGCAGTATCCCATATGGAGTTAGAATGAATAAAGACTGCAAAAAAGCAAATTGTCTGGTTTTGTCGTCTATGGCTCTGACAATACATGAAAACAACCCTGATTTTTATTTAGAAGGCTGGGTTAAATTGGTTTAAGATTGATTATTTGAGGGAGGGGGGCACTATTTTAGGTTAAATATATTAGCATAATATAATGTAGCCTTGCCATTAATATTCTATAATAAAAGATTTATTCTTTTCACTTAAATATTCTTTATGTTAAAATGGGAAGACAGCAAGAACATCACCACCACCACCATCCTATGAAAGGAGAAAGAAATTTCTCTTACTAATAATCTCCTAAAGCAGCAGTTCTCAAAATGTGGGTCATGACCCCTTTGGGGGTCAAATGACCCTTTCACAAGGGTCGCCCAATTCATAACAGTAGCAAAATTACAGTTATGAAGTAGTAACGAAAGTAATTTTATGGTTGGGGGGGTCACCACAAAGTGAGCAACTGTATTAAAGGGTCGTGGCATTAAGAAGGTTCGGAACCACTGTCCTAAAGGAATCCTGATAGATCAACCATTAAGCACTCATCAACTAACCAAAAGATTGACAGTATGACCCACCCACAGGCTCCATGGGAGAAAGACCTGGTGATGTATTTCGTAAAGATGACAGCCAAGAAAATCCTGTGAAGTAGTTCTATTCTGTCTTATAGGGTCTCTGTGAATTATAACTAACTCAAGGGCACACAATAATGATTTCCTAATTGTCAAGCTCAATGAATTCTTTTCAGTGATTACATTACTATCCAAGATATTCTCATTACTTACACATTTTCCCCTTCTTTAATTTTAATGGATATCTGGCTCCAGTCCTGTCTATTTTCTTCACTGGATCTTTCAGACTCCTGTTGAGCCACTTATTCCATTCCTTAGACATTTTCCTATACCCCCACGGTTCCACCTTTGGCTCACTTCTCACATTATAGTTTCCCTGAATCATATTCCCTAGGCTTTTGACTTCCTAGAAAACTATAACTCTCAAGCTTGTTTTATGAGACAAAGTGAGAAAGAGATATAGGACCCCTGGCAATTTTGTTTACAAAGCCTCCTCTTGTGCTTATGCCACAGCTGACCAGACCAAGTCTGAAAACCTGGGTATGTCTTGTTTTCTGCTGCCAGAAAGTTTCAGGAGTGAGATTGACATATTCGATATTGCTTGCTTGTACTGAGGGCACGTAAGCTCAGGGTTATAAGGCCAATCAAGACTGGCTACACAAAGGACTTAGGTTGAGGGAAAGCTAAACTGCAAAGAGAAAGACAGAAAAGTGGGGGAAATTTTTCTCGTACACTGAGGAAAATAATAAACGAGCCATCACCCAAAGAGAAGAGATGATTGGGGAAGAATAAAGAGAATGAGAAGAAGAGAGACTGAAAAAGCAGCTAGAGACAGAGGCATACAGATTAGCGGCTCTCAGTAATAGACCTGTCTTAATTTCCTTCAGGTGGCTTCAGTACAAAGGTCCAATCAAAATAGTGGCTTGTTGAGAAGAGTGGGTGGGCCAGCTCAATTCAAGGCAGAGAGGCTCAGAAGATTATGGAGACTGGGTTTTTGTTTTGGGATTCCAAAGGGGTAATCTTTTTTTTTTTTAATCATTTTATTAGGGGCTCATACAACTCTTATCACAATCCATACATACATCAATTGTGTAAAGCGCATTTGTACATTCATTGCCCTCATCATTCTCAAAACATTTCCTCTCCACTTAAGCCCCCGGCATTAGGTCCTCATTTTTCCCCTCCCTTCCCACTCCCCCCTCCCTCATGAGCCCTTGATAATTTATAAATTATTATTTTGTCATATCTTGCCCCAAAGGGGTAATCTTGATGGGTTTTTTCCCCCCAAAGGGCATAGGATGATCACAAGGGCTTATTAGGAAGACATTTTATGAAAATTGAAAACTATATTGGTGAGAAAAAGGTAACAAAAGTTTAACTGAAATCCCCCCTCAACCCCTCCAATCACAACAATGCACCTGCTCATTCCTCCAAGGTAGCCAGGGCTGTCCCATGAAAATTTCATTGGGAAACCACCCACTACCCACTCTACACCTCTGATCTTGACACATCATATTTCTTTTTTATTATTATTATTACCAAAACTCAAAGAATTTTTAGAAGGAACCCAATCTGAGTCTCTCAAAGATGCCGGAACTGCCACAAACATCACCTTGATGTGGTGTAAACTGAAGAGCATGGAATGTTGGGGGAAGGGTTATAGAGATGAAGATATTGCCTTCAAAGGTGTATAGACCTAGGAAGAAGATATGTTGAGAAGCAACAGGTTCATATTTGGATAGTTCGGTTTAATAAAGATTTCTATAAGTTCATAGCAACTTTTAAAAAAATTCTCACCTATGTTGTTGTTAAGTGCCATTGACATATACTGAACCTATACACAACAAACAGAATACTGATGGATGCTGTACCATCATCACATCATTATGTTTGAGTCCATTTCAGTAGCTACTATGTCAATCCATCTCATTAAGGGTCTTCTCTTTTTTTTTTGCTGGCCCTCCACTTTATGAACCTATAAAGTCCTTTTCCAGGGACTGGTCTTTTCTGATTACACGTTTAAAATAATGAGACGAAGCCTCGCCATCCTCTTTCTAAGAAGCATTCTAGCTGTACTTCTGTGATCAATTTTTTTGTTCTTCTGGCAGTCTATGACACATTCACTATTCTTCACCAGTACCTTAATTCAAAATGCATCAATTCTTCTACAGTCTTTTTCATTCATTGTTCAATTTTCACATGCATATGAGGTGATTGAAAAATCTCATGGTTTGAACCTTAGTCCTGATCCTTAGTCCTCAAATTGCTAT